GTTTGTAAAAGTTTTTCTTTATCACTTTCAGTTTATCAACTGAACTGCTTGAGGACAAGCAACGGGTTAAGCTTGGGGGAGTTGATACGTATCCAACGTATCTACTTTTCCAAACTATTTTGCCCTTGTTTTGGACTCTAATTTGCATGATTTGAATGGAACTAACCCTGACTGACGCTGTTTTCAGCAGAATTGCCATGGTGTTATTTTTGTGCAGAAATATAAGTTCTCGGAATGACCCGAAACTTCACGGAGATCATTTTTGGAATAAATAAAAAATATTGGCGAAAGAATCAACCGAAGGGGACCCACACCTTGTCCACAAGGGTGGAGGGCGCGCCCACCCCCGGGTCGCACCCTCTGGTCTTGTGGGCCCCCTGGACCTCCACCGACCTCAACTCCAACTCCATATATTCACGTTCAGGGAGAAAAAAACATAAAGAAGGATTCATCGCGTTTTACGATACGGAGCCACCGCCACCTCCTGTTGTTCCTCGAGAGACCAGATCTAGAGTCCGTTCGGGGCTCCAGAGAGGGGAAATCGTCGTCGTCACCATCGTCAACCATCCTCCATCACCAATTTCATGATGCTCACCGTGGTGCGTGAGTAATCCTATCGTTGGCTTGCTGGACGGTGATGGGTTGGATGAGATTTACTATGTAATCGAGTTAGTTTTGTTAGGGTTTGATCCCTAGTATCCATTATGTTCTAAGATTGATGTTGCTATGACTTTGCTATGCTTAATGCTTGCCACTAGGGCCCGAGTGCCATGATTTCAGATCTGAACATATTATGTTTTCATGAATATATATGAGTTCTTGATTCGATCTTGCAAGTTATAGTCACCTACTACGTGTTATGATCCGGCACCCCCAGAGTGACAATAGTTGGGCAGTTCCCGGTGATGGCCGTAGTTTGAGAAGTTCATGTATTCACTAAGTGTTAATGCTTTGGTCTGGTACTCTATTAAAAGGAGGCCTTAATATCCCTTAGTTTCCAATAGGACCTCGCTGCCAGGGGGGTAGGACAAAAGATGCCATGCAAGTTCTTTTCCATAAGCACGTATGACTATATTCGGAATACATGCCTACATTATATTGATGAACTGGAGATAGTTCTGTGTCACCCTATGTTATAACTGTTGCATGATGAATGCCATCCGACATAATTTTCCATCATTGATCCATTGCCTACGAGCTCGTTTCATATTGATCTTTGCTTAGTTACTTTTCCGTTGCCACTGTTACAATTGTTACAAAACTGCTACTGTTACTTTTGCCACAGTTACCGTTACTTCCATACTACTTTCCTACTAAATACTTTGCTGCAGATATTAAGTCTTTCAGGTGTGGTTGAATTGACAACTCAGTTACTAATGCTTGAGAATATTCTTTGGCTCCCCTTGTGTCGAATCAATAAATTTGGATTGAATACTCTACTCTTGAAAACTGTTGCGATCCCCTATACTTGTGGGTTATCAGGGGGTTGGGGGCGAACCACCATGTTCTCAATTGCTAGCTCCACCACTGACTACAAGGAGTAATCAACACTACTAGCAACCCAGAGATACCAATATGAGGTTCTGAGGCCAAGATTGAATACAAGAGATGAACTAGGGTTTGAGAGGAGATGGTGCTGGTGAAGATGTTGATGAAGATTGACCCTCCCACGATGAGAGGATCGTTGGTAGTGACGATTGCTTCGATTTACCCCTCCCAGAGGGAAGTTTCCCCAGCAGAATCGCTTTGCCGGAGCCCTAGATTGCTTTTGCCCAGGTCCCGCCTTGAGACGGCGACGCTTCGTCCCAAAAGCTTTCTTATGATTTTTTCTAGGTCAAAACCTTTCATATAGCAGAAGATGGACACCGGGGGCTGGCCAGGGGGCCCACAAGCTTGGGAGGCACGCCCTGGGGGGTAGGGCGCGCCCCTAGGCTTGTGGCCACCTGGTGGGCCCCCTTCTGTTGTTTCTTCGCCCAGTATTTTTTATATATTCCAAAACAATTCTCCATAAAGTTTCAAGACATTTGGAGTTGCGCAAAATATGTATCTCATATTTGCTCCTTTTCGGTTCAGAATTCGAGCTGCCGGCATTCTCTCTCTTCATGTAAATCTTGTAAAAAAGAGAGAAAATGCATAAGAATTGTATCATAAAGTGAAATAACAATCCATAATGCAATAAATATGAATATAAAAACATGATGCAAAATGGACGTATCAATGTCCGCCACTTGGATGTGTATTTTTTATGCCAAGGAGGTGAAGGAGGAAATGTACAAGATGTTCATTGTTGTGCAAAGGGAGAAGATGGAGTTCGACCAAGATAGGTTGATGTTGGAGAAGGATAAAGTCGAATTGGAGAGGCAAGATAAGGTTGCCAAGTGGGAGCGTGAGCAAATAGTGACAATGCATGGCCTTGAGCTCGAGAAAGAGAGGTTACAGCTTGTGAGAGAGACGGAGGAATCGAGGATCATGTTGCAAGACATCAACCTCTTGGTTGAGAAAGGGAAGAAGTGGTTGTTTCGCATGAGGAAGAGGATCAATGACCACGAGGAGTGAAGTCTTTGATTCATTTGTGTATCTCTTATCTATGTATGAACTATTGAATTTTATTTTGGCATATACTAAACTTTGGGCTACATTATATTTGTATCGTTGAATGTATGATGAATTTACATTGTATGATCGTCGTGTATGGATTTGCATGAATTTGAGTAGTGAGATTTGAAAAATGTGGTTATAGGAAGGGCCAAACGGAACCAGTCCAGCGCCGTCAGCGGGCGCGTCCGCGGGATATAAGGGCTCAGATTAGCTAATTGCGATTGGTGCTCCTAGCACTTTGAAAGGGTACTTGAGCTAGAAGCTCATACGATGTAGTGTTGTCTGACAGGTGTAAGAGCATCTACAGTCGGACTTGGCAAATTAGGTCTCTCAAACATCTGCGGCGTCCGCGGACACTAACCGGGCACACTTTATATATTGCCTTCCACATCCTCGTCCCTCATATCTGAAACCTCAAAGCCATGCAACTCATGCAACACTATGTAACAAATGATCAAAGTGTAGTTCAACAAATCAACATTTCATCGCCGGACAAAAGCAACATAGTTCATCGGAGTTCAACGGCGGACAGTGCAAATCCATACTACAAACTACTTATAAGACAGATAAAATGTAAATAGAACAGGGAAGGCCGGAGGAAATCACCACTTCCCCCCGACCCCTTCCCCTCTCGGTCATCGGCGCGGCTGTGCCCCTCCTCCATGTAGGTGTCGGCGTGCGGAGGTGTGTCGTCGTCGGAGCTAGAGGTCGGGCCGTCCGTCAGGTCGGACTCGGAGTCGGAGTTGCACCTTTTGCCTGATAGCTTGCGGGGCAGGCAGTTCTGCTCCTTCACATGGCGGGCCGCCTTCACCTTCGCCTCCTTGTTTGCCTCTCGCGCTCCGACAACTCGATGGCAAGCCGGAGCACCTTGTCATTTTTGCGGCAGAGGCGCCGCGCATCCGTCTCCGTCGTCGTGAGAGAGCGGCGGAGGATCGATGAGAGGAGCGCGACCTTGGGATCGACCGGTGCACTCGCGCGCGAACGGCGCACGGACATCGCCTCCCCCACCGCTGCCCTCTCCCTCGCCCGCTGCCGCTCGCGCGCGGGCTGCTCTTGCCTTGGACTCGCGCGTCCGAGTGCGCGCCAGCCCCAGCACGGGCACGAGGACCCAGTGGTGTTCGGGTGCCACCTCTGGAGCAGGTTGTGGTGGTGGTGGGCGGCGTACCTGGAGGAGCTGCCGCCGGGCGAGAAGGACCGACGACGTCGCCGGCGCTGCGTTGATGGGCGCCGAGCGCTGACGAAGTTGACCCACTGCTGCCGGATCCGGCTTGGTCGACCATGGAACGCCTCAACACGATGCGGCGGGCGACCTCCTCCACATCGCCGGGCTCGGCTTCACGCAACAGGCCAGTCGTTGTCGGAGCTGGATTCCCCACCGGAAGCAGCGCCGCTTCGGTCGCCGGCCATCGAATGCGTTCGGAGGGGATCGAAAGTGGAGTGGACGAAGAGGGGAGTGAAGTGGAGTTCGAATTGATTGCGGTCTAGGGTTTTCGGGATGGGTATATTTGTGGGGCAGACTGGACCAAGCCGACGTGGTAGACGCGTCTGGGCCGTCCCATGCTGCCTCATATTTGAACTGGATATGAGGGGCGTCGGTCAGCTCGGGCATTTAAAGTCCGTTTGAGGCGCTCGGCTGGATCAAAATTTTGTTACTGGTTGGGTTTGGGGCGTCCGGCTGTAGACGCTCCAAGCTCGTGTAAAGTTGGTGTACTCTCAAATTTTCAGGCAGATTTGATGAAGATTTATTTACCAAGAAGTGGGTGCAGAAAGTTGTGCAGGCCCGGCTGCGGTGCGGTACGGTGCAGGGGAGACGGCTGATCGAGTCTGAACTCTGAACTGAACTGAATATTGGTTGTTTCCGTCCAGACCCTCGTCCTCCTGCTCCTCCTACCAACCCAACCCAATCCAGCCCAGCTCGTCGCGGCTCTGACTGAATCCCCCCTTCACCACCGGACAGCTACCGCCGACGCCCCGATCCCGCCCCTCCCCGCTCCCCCTCCCCTGACGCCGCCGCCTATCACGCCCCCTCCTCGCCGCGACGTCGGTCGCGCCCCTCCCGTCTCCGCCCCGTCCGCGATCTCAGGCCGATTGGAGGTACGTACGAGCTTGTTCGATTGCTTTCGTCCAGCGATTAGCTAAGCACCGACCGACCTCCACGATTTCTCTGCGCACACGGCACCCCATCATCTAGTAGATCCCTTGGTAGCAAGGCGTCCAAGATGAGATAAGAATATTCCTGTTCCCGCGGAGTTTCTTCTCTTCATGTCACCGAGACTTTTTTTTCCTGTTTATAATCACCACCGGTATCGTGACCCACTCGAGATTTTCTAATCTTCCCTCTGTTTTCCGGCAGATACGCTCGTCGATTCAGCCCCGCGGCCGTCGTCCAGAGAGGAGGAGAGATGCAGGTCAGCCGCTCATCTCTTAACTAGCATCAGTGATTTAGTTAGGCCTAGGGTGTTCCACGATGCCCAAACCTTGTCAGTTCAGTCTAGTGTATGACCCAAGAGCTAGTGGGAAGTTCAGGATAGGGCAACCCAGACCAACCAAAACCCCTGTCAAATTCCCAATTCATGCAAACTTTTATAGTCAATAACATTTCTACCATATGATAGTTTTACAGTCTTTTTTAACAAGGCAGCGCAAGGCCTCTCGAGTCTCGACAGTTTTCTAGACAGCGCCTGCCTCACGACATAGAAATAACTAGGCAGCCCCCATCTCTCGACAGGATTCTACATCAAAAGCAACACGCGTAGAGCACCACGAGCTCATGCCACCATCAGCTCCCTTGTTCCTCGCCGCAGCCTCAGTTCCTATAAGATCAAATGGCTGGCATGGGAGGAAAGATAAATAACAGGCTACAAAAGATTTGGCAAGAAACAAAAGAAAATGTTAGCAACACTACAGCCTACAGATAAAGCAGCTACAAAATGAACTAGTAAACAAGGTTATGGTCTGCAAGAAAGAGATAAAGCAACACTCTACAACCCACATGAACTTCTACAAGCTATGTTTCTGCAGCCATGTGTTGGCATCCAAAGGTCGTATCATCAGAATATGTTCAGAAAAGCATATTATCAAAGAATAGGGGATACAAAGCAGTAGGACGAAGCAAAGCATCTTTGGTAGCATATTATCATAAGAAAAGTAACAAGTAACAAAAATAAACTCCATATAGCTGCTCTTTCGATTACCCCATGTTCTTAGTTATGTTTTTTTTGCTGGAAACACTACTATGAATGAAATGCAATTGTCTTGCGATACTAGTAGTTTAATTATCGATCTGTTCAGTAACAAGTCGTTCTGCAGACAGGACTTGTAGTTTGTGCTGCTGCAGATCATGTTCAGATATTCATAATAAATTAACAACTACATTATTGGGGCATGCCTAGTCGACAACCTATTATAGTTGTAGCATGCCATAATTAGTGGAACTTGTCAATAGGTACGACCAAGATAACACTTCTTGTCACTTGATTGTTTATTTTTCTCCAAAGGACACCCCGGTCAGATTTCATTATCATAGCAATAACAAAATAACAATGTCCCAAGCGTCTGCGCACGCACGAAGAAACAAATAAACTATGCTCAGTGATCAGCCAAGAAGTAAACCAACTGTACTACCCAACCAGAACAGGATAGTCACAAATGGAGTTCCATAAAGCAAGTCTATAAAGAAGAGATTGAACTCACCTAGGTAGTGATGGTGCAGAACTAGAAATACTGCACGCGTCTACACCTGACCAACCAATTGTTACCAGATTTAACCAACCTCGCGTATTCATAAGCAAAAGTAAGTTTGAGGGAGGCACTATTATGTAACATTGATAGGAGCTCGGATTCAATCAACAATGCAACTGAAATCCAAAGTTTCCGCATAATAACATGAGGCAGAAGGTTAACAAACATGGTGGATGAACAGGGACAGCAAGCACACTGCCTGAACGATGAGAGAGGGGCGGGGAGGGAAGGCGCATCTGCCAGACTGTCCAGACCAAACCGAACCCGCCCAACAGTACCCAAAGCCGAAACCAAGTCAAATTATAGTTTTGCATAAGAACCGAACTGAAATTATAGTTTTAGACCAAACTATTCCCAGATTTAGTTGGTGGAACCAGTCACTTACTGAGGCAACTTGATTATACCTGTTAGGCCTAGCTGGATGGTGTTGCCTAGAATAGTGAATACAGCTTATGTAGTCTTATTCAGCAGCTTTTTAGAACAAATTAGTATTGATCTCAACAGCCACAAATTGAACTATTCCGTCCCAGTTTAGTGGATGTTACTTGTTTCCCTCAGGCAATGAACCCCTCGGTTCTTAAACGTTCTGACAATGTCTTCTGTCTATAGGCATCTAGAGCTAGGCTCTTCAAGGAGTACAAGGAGGTGCAGCGAGAAAAGTCAGCCGACCCAGATATCCAATTAATCTGTGATGATTCAAATATATTCAAATGGACTGCTGTAATCAAGGTATTTGCTTCTATCCGAGCTGATGCAGGAACGAGCAGTATCAACTTTGTTACTGATGCCTTCTCTTGCTGTTTATGTCGTTAGGGCCCATCAGAGACACCTTTTGAAGGTGGCGTATTTCAACTTGCATTCTCAATTCCCGAGCAGTATCCTCTACTGCCTCCGCAAGTCCGCTTCATCACCAAAATTTTCCACCCAAATGTTCACTTCAAGGTTACTTCTATATTGCCTTCTTTGAAATACATGCGTATGTTAGGGTATATGAATTTGTGACCTTGTTGAAAGTAGGTAGAATCCTGATCTTATTGGTTCCTATTATTGATTTTTTTCTGCAATACCTGAATCACCCATTTGATACTATTATTTGATTGTTTTGTACTGTTGAAATTCCCTGCAACTCATAAATACACCATGCGCCCATTATGTGAACACAGCAAGCAGTACCTGTTGCTAAATCCAAAACTAAATGGCATTTTCTGTTTCCTCAATTTCTCTTCTATTGTTTATGTTTCCAGACTGGTGAAATATGCCTGGATATATTGAAGAATGCATGGAGCCCTGCGTGGACCCTACAATCTGTTTGCAGAGCCATTATTGCGTTGATGGCCCATCCGGAAGCAGATAGCCCACTTAACTGCGACTCAGGTAGCTTCATACCCTACTCATGAATTTGTTTCAATCATATTATTCATTATTTTCTGCTGGTGAGCCGATTGGTGTTTATGTGCTCACTGTACATCAACCTATGATGCATGACAATGTTGTCACCTTCAAGGATTTAGCTCCTTCATGATGTGGCTCTTTGAATTGCTTCTAGACTGAGGTGGTAAATGCTAGTTTTGAAATATTGCCAACTTTTAACACTTGGTATGTTATGCAAGATTTGGAATTGAAGAACCACTAGGCTGTTACTCTTGTGAATGCCATCAGTATGTATAATATTAAGGGCATCAAGTATCCATCGATAGATGGTAAGAAATTACCAAATCGATTGAATGTCTTCGTGACTGCAATTATTAACGTGCCCATGACATGGAGAATCTCTGTCCCTCGCCATGGATCTAAGTAAAATGAAAGCGAAAAGTTTCCTTGCACAACTCTTGACTTATAAAGCAAGCATGCATGTAGATTTCCTGAAATCAGTTTTTGCTTGGTCGTTGTAATCACAGGCAATCTTCTCCGCTCGGGCGACATCAGAGGCTACCAGTCCATGGCGCGGATGTACACCAGGCTAGCTGCCATGCCAAAGAAAGAGTGATTTGCAGGGTTGCAAAGGTACACCAGAGCAGTGGCGCTGGCGCTGGCTTATTGATTCATGGATGTCGTATCCCCGTATCCCCGTAACCCCCTAAGTTGTCAGGTGCAACTCGTTGGTATCCCCGTATGAACTTGTGTGGCCTGATTTTCTTACCCGACTTGTCGTTGTGGGTGTAATGTTGATTCTGTTGGGCTAAAAAGGATTTAAGCGTAAACGCTTGATTCATGATGATGTGTAATAAATAATCCTCACAGGGATTTGGTAACATGTATATGGTTCCTCCAGTGCACTATCCTCAGGTTTGATTGATTACCTGCTGTCCTCCTGTACACTTTGAGTTGCTGAAGCCTCGATGCCCCTACATATACGCATTGGTCCTTGCAGTTAAGTAAACTCTTGTGGTTCCTCGCCCACTGTCCGCTGACCGCTTATGTCGTTTTGGACCAGAGGCCCAGTCAAATTGGGCTAGAGGCCAGTCAAATATTGCTACTGTAAATATATTTGGTTTGGTACTACGGAGTATATCACATTGACTTCCTCAGTATGGTTTGGATGATTATATCGGCTAAGAATGTAAAAATATCGGAGTGATATGACATACAAAACAAAATGGTACACATGCATCTCCACTCCATATACTTCTCCGGATTTGGAGCACCCCGAGAACACTGGTACGGTGATCTTGATCCGACCACGTCGGTTGTGCCGCTGCCCGGAACCATGGCGAATTTCAGCATCTCGCTGCGGTCAGCGTCAATAGCCTCCATGAACAGATGAAAACATCATCATCGGAGTAGCCTCGGTTGTGCGACGGTGACCGTAATTGCCGGGGTGTGGTATCCCTTTGCCTCTACCTGACGCTGAACAACCGCAGTCAACTGATGATATGGTGTAAATGGTGGTCGTGGCGAGCTGCCTTGCCTTTTTCACGTCAAAAGTAGCAGCTCATATAGTATTTCCTCGAGCTTCAAAACTGATCGGCACGACAATTGATCCACAAATCAACTAAGGAATTAATAGGTTCTCGGCTTACAAGATTTGATGCAAACCGGAAGAGACAACATGCAAACCCTGCCATGTCAGAAATCACATACTCCCTCCGTCCCGTAATACAAGAGCATTTTTTACACTACACTAGTGTAAAATACGCTCTTATATTATGGGACGAAGGGAGTAGAAGATCTGGGGCAACGAATCATCATACAACTAGAGAAAGTCTCCCCCAATCCGCATGCACAACAACAAACACTAGATGAGATTTCAACTGATATTCGGAAGAAAATGGGCATACTCTACCATCTAGTGTTTTTTCAAGTCAATTCTACCATCTAGGGGTTTTTCAAGTCAATTCTACCATCCACCATCTAGGGTTTGTTCAGGGAGGGGGATTTTTGGTCTATGGGGACATATGCACCCTATATGGGAAAAAAATTAGTAATTCAACAAAAAGTCAAAAATTCCTGAATATATATTTGAAATAAACTTGACCTTCTATTGTACTCGTGAAAAATAAATCGACAAAAAAAAATCCCTTTGACTTCTTTTCAAAAAAGACAATTTTTTGGCTAAAATATTGTGAATAGTGACCTATAATAGCAAATAAATTTTGTCTTTTTTGCTGTGAGGTCAACTTTTTTTTTCGTCGAGATTTATATACTAGTGCAAAAGTAAGTCAATTGTTTTGTCAAAATAGTTCTTACCTATTTTGACTTTTTATTAAAATATTAAAAAAAAATCCCCATATAGGGTGCATATACAACCAGGAACCAAAATGTATTTCCCGTTTGTTCAGACTCTACCATCTAAGGTTCAACATTGTAGCAGAACCTTTTTGCATATCAAAGCCCTCACTCCGGAGGGAAGAGCCATGTTACCCCCATAGAATACACACCAAACTTTGATGGGCTGCAAGTCCTCGACTTCATGTTGTACACGTCTTCCGTCTCCATGAAATAAATCGCATCTTCCTCCACCTCTCCACAAGGCGCCGGGACATACTTGGAGAAGTTCATGCTAACAAAGAGTGCTCAACCGCCTCCTAGCCCTCTGGTCAGTGGCACCCAAGCGTGTGTGCTAAAGTCTGCTTCGAAAACATCCACCTGGAGAGTGTCCCACAGAGTGTCATAATAGGGCTGCTCACGGAGTTGGAAACGATGCCTTACCATGAGTAGCTTCCCATGTGACTCAATGAGGTGCCTGCTAGTATTGATGCAAACATCAGGTCCAACGTCTTGATCATATTCAGCGGAGAAATTCATGTAGGTAAAGCCATTGTCTTCCTCCTCTTCCTCGTCATTGTCTTCTTCATCTTCCTCCTGTTCATCTTCCTCCTCTTCATTCTGGTCATCATGGTCCTCCTCGTCAAAAATGGTTGATGCATCATAATAATCATCATAGTGGAGCGATTGCTCGATGACATATGTTCCCATTGTAACCATGGGCCTTCCGTCTCCACCCCAGGTGAGGTCAAGGGTGATGAGGTCCTCAGTTGTGGTGATGGCATACAGTTTGTCACCAAGAAACGCGATGTCAATGATGTAGATAAATGATGAAGTTGCTGCTGGCTCCGGCGACCACACACCCTTCCCTCGTTGGAATACAATGAGTGGATGCTTCCAGTTGTTGGTGATGACAACGATGACATCATCGACCGTGGAGCGCATGAGGAACTTGCGGATGAGAGACTTGCTGTTGACGATGACAGCGTCGAGCTCGGGCAGTGGCAGGGACCTGTTTGAGAAAGGATTGTGCAGGACATAATTGTGCACAACATAGTACTCCGGGAGCTCGTCGTCGTCTTCATCGTTGTCGTCGTCGTCGTCGTCGTCGTCGTCGTCAGTGGTGTGCTTCTGGCCAAGGCCGAGGGCGAGCCAGTCGTTGGTGGATCCAACAGACGTGGCATTGTCGGGGAGGTCGTGGGCGTGGCTGCTGTAGGGGGCGATGACGAGGAGGTCCGGGAGGGCAATCCACGGCAGCGAGCGCGCTTGGGGGCCATGGCGGCGCACGGCCGAGTGCCATGGACGGCAGACGGCACCGTCGGCGCGGCAGCGGGCGCAGTTCTCCGGGTCAGGAAGGCTGGCCACCAGGATGTGGAGGTTCTTCAGCACGAAGCTGCACCGGTGCAGAATCGAAAACGCCAGGTCCATGTAGGAGAGGTGTATTTGTTTCCCCTTCTCTTTTTGGTTCGGTCGTACGTATTGGCGTGCAACTTCACCATGTATACAGCAGCGGAAAAGAAGTTGGGCTCCGGATCGGAACCGTCCACGAGTTCTTGGCCCATCCGACTTGATGGTCGGTATCGCTGTTTCACCCAATAAAAAATAAAAATAATAAATCTAAAAAAACAATATAAAAATTTTAGACTTAAGAAAACTCAATATAAAAGAGTCGCCGAAAGGCTGCAACTAGGCGAGATTTGAATGTTGATCATACCAATCTGCAATTCATGGACTTGTGGAGCTAAGAAAATTAGACACGAAGCACACCATGACATTATTTTGTTTATTTATAGGGGTGTGCTACGTGTCCGCCGGCTGATCTTTTAAAAAGATCAGCCCGGCCGCGAGCCGTCAGATCTGTCCTATTGACCGGCCGAGCGCGTCTCCATCACTGCAACACAACTTTTATTACATAATTGTTTATGGTACACAAGTATTATCGCAGATTTTTTTTGCAACAACTGTTTTGTTGCAAAAACATTTTGTAACCAGGCTTTGTTGCAATTTTTTTCAACTGAGGTCTTGTTGCAGAATTATTTTCGCAAGATAGGTTTTGCTCTAAAACATAAAGCCGTCGTAGACCATTGCAACACCGCATATGTTTCAGAAGCATAGCCCCTGTTGCATGAAGGATGGTATATAAGCCCTTACTTGATGCGTGTCATCCAATAAAGGTGGCGGACGTGGCCGCTGCAATCCACCGGTTGATGGTAAGCTTTTCCCTTATTTATATGCATCACCCTTATCTTTTAGACCCCGATAATGTTGGAAATATGCGCTAGAGGAAATAATAAATTAGTTATTATCATATTTTCCTGTTCATGATAATCGTTTATTATCCATGCTAGAATTGTATTAATCGAAAACTCAGATACATGTGTGCATACATAGACAACAACGTGTCATAGTGAGCCTCTACTAGACTAGCTCGTTGACAAAGATGGCTATGGTTTCCTAGCCACAGACATAGAGTTGCCATTTGATATTGGGATCACATCATTAGGAGAATGATGTGATGGACAAGACCCAAATTATGAACGTAGCATATGATCGTGTCAAGTTTATTGTTATCGTTTTCTTCATGTCAAGTCTATGTTCCTATGACCATGAGATCATGCAATTCACTGACACCGGAGGAGTACCTTGTGTGTACCAAACGTCGCAACGTAACTGGGTGACTATGAATATGCTCTACATGTATCTCCAAGGGTGTCTGTTGAGTTGGCATGGATCAAAACTGATTTGTCACTCCGTATGACGGAGATGTGTCTTAGGGACCACTCGATAATATAGTATCACAATGATCTTGCAAGCAATGTGACTAATGAGTTAGTCACGGGATCTTGTATTACAGAGTGAGCAAAGAGACTTGCCGGTAACGAGATTGAACTAGGTATGGAGATACCAACGATCGAATCTCGGGCAAGTAACATACCGATAGACAAAGGAAACTGCATACGGGATTAGTTGAATCCTTGGCATCGAGGTTCGACCGATAAGATCTTCGTAGAACATGTAGGAACCAATATGGGCATCCAGGTCCCGCTATTGGTTATTGACCGTAGAGGTGTCTCGGTCATGTCTGCATAGTTCTCGAACCTAGAGGGTCTACACACTTCCCTTAACGTTTGGTGATGATATAAGTATAGTTGAGTCATTATGATGGTTACCGAAGGTTGTTCAGAGTCCCGGATGAGATCCCGGACGTGACGAGGAACTCCCGAATGGTCCGGAGGTGAAGATTGAATATTGGACGAAGGTTATTGGAGTCCGAAAGTGTTC